TCTTGGTTAGATAATGCTTGAGAGGCTTAAATTCCTTTTCTTACCAATGATGTAAGCATTGTGACAAATGAATAAAGAAGGGGTATTGATTGTCAAAGAAAAAAGCACTAAAGGTCCCCATGTCCTCAACAAAGTCATACATCTCAAGTCTCCTCTTTAAACCACAAGATTTTTGAATCACATGAAAGAAAAAAATATAGGATTTAAGTGAGGTGCCCGCTTAAATCCTATAAGATTAGCAAACCACATGAATTTGGATAAAACAGTGTTTGATGTTATGGGAGAACAAAATGAATTGTACAAAGAAATTTGAGTGGATGTTCAGTTTCGCCCAAAATAGAGTGTGAAACAATAGTTAGAAAATTCTCCTAAGGTTTCCGGTCCTATGAATGAAACACATACAAAAAAATTCTAAGGATCTAGATCCTCCAATAATCCTAAAAACTTCCTGTGAATGGAAGGAGCCCTACCTACTTTGGACAAGAAGCGTAATTTCTATGGAGATCACATCTTTTTGACATGACCAAATAGCCTAACAAGTAATCACACCTCTTCAACAATCACCAAGCGCAACTCATCATATGTGTTGTACACTAGTAAAAATGTGTATAATGATGTTATCTTAGCAATGTCACATAGGATAAATATTGAGCTAGAAGAGAGAGATATGAGAAAGAAAACTTCGCATTCACTCAGTGGGGAGAATGTCTCTATTCACAAAAAAATAAGGAGATTGTCTCTTACTGGGAAAAAAGCTTGCATTTTATCCATTCTACGAGATCTCATCTCTTAATTATATATCTTTTAGTTTAATTTTTATCATCCACAAATTCAAGAGCATGCAAACATTAATTGTTGCCATATAAGAGCATCTACATATCGGACTGGGCAAATCCGCCCCTACACTTGTGAAGACGCAACCGTGGACAACGCCGGTTGATACGTCTCTAATATATCTATAATTTTTGATTATTTCATGTTGTTATATTATCAATCTTGTATGCTTTATATGTCATTTTATATCATTTTTGGGAACTAATCTATTAATCCAGTGCATAGTGCATAATGCGAGTCGTTGTTTTCTGCTTTTTTTGGTTTTTACAGAAAATCCATACCAAATGAAGTCCAAACACGTTGAAACTTCTTGATGATTTTTATGGACTAGAAGAGACCCTAGAAGCTTCGGAGGGAGTCCAGACGATAGATGAGGCGGGGAGAAGGCAGGGGGCATGCCCTGCCCCCTTATGCCCCCCTACTGCTCTGTTTACCCTAATTTCTGGCCTATAAATTCCCAAATATTCAGAAACCCCAAGAGGAGGTCCCAAAATAATTCTTTCATTTCCGCAAGCCTTTGTTCTTCCGCAATCTCATTTGGAGGCCTTTTTCGGTACTCTGTTAGAGGGGAATCCATCACGGAGGCCATCTTCATCAACCATGCTGCCTCCATGATGATGTGTGAGTAGTTCCTGCAGGACCTATGGGTCCATAGCAGTAGCTAGATGGCTCTCTCTCTTTTTGATCTTAAATACAATGTTCTCTTCGGAGATCGATTCGACGTAATCCTTTTGTGGTGTGTTTGTTGGGATCCGATGAATTGTGGGTTTATGATCATATTATTCATTGAAAGCAATTGAGTCTTGTATGAGATTTATTATGTGTGATTTTATAGCCTTGTATTTCTCTCCGATCTACCCGTCTAGTTTAGCCAATTAGATTTATTTACCTCCAGCAGGAAGGAGCCCGGAGGAATGGATAGACGTCCATGGATCATCTTGGCCCCCAAGCCAAGATGGCGACGACCTAAAATGGATCTCCCTCTTGTAAAACCCTAGCCCTCACTGAGCATATAAGGGGAGGGCTACGGGCCTCTCAAACCATCTATGGGAGTTGCACAAGATCATTGAGAAGTTGCATGTGCACATATTGTACACACATATGCTGCACAGTATTACTGAGAAGATGCATGTGCACATGTTGATCTCGAAGTTGTCAATATATCTCAAGAAAGTTGGCGCGGACCTGAACTCTGGACTTCTCGAAATCATGCGTTGTGGGTTGGGGCCTCCGGTGTCGGCGCTTTGAGTTGGGGACGACGACGGAGCTTCGATGGCGGCTGTGCGGACGAGACAGAAAAGAGGAGAGGAAGAGTGGGTAGGTCGAGCAAGGGCATGGACGTCTTCAAGGGATTCGTCCGGTCGTGCCCACATCGGCCGCACATAAAGGCTAGGTATGGTGGTTCGTCGGTTAGCCCGTACATTTGGGTCGGGTTTGCCGGGTGTCGTTTTTCTGTCGGGCAATGACCGGGCAGACTGGCCGGACGTTTGGGGCGGATATGAGGCGTCCAATTTTAAATCTCTGACACTAAGAAATAATCAAGTGCAAATTATATTTTTCTTTGTCTTTGCTAAATGACATGCATGTCATAAGATAGGATCTTCTTATCAGCGACTATACATGGAGAACGGACGTTTGGCTCCCGGGAGCCATGGAGGCCTTTTTTTGAAAACAAATCAAAATTCAAACTTTTCGGTTTCAAAAAAATCTGAAAAAAATTGTGCAAGTAAACAAGTATGTTATGCCTATGTATGTAAAATTTCAGAATGAAAAACGTTGAAATGTGACCTATACAAAAAAGACAAATTCCTGGTCCGGGACGATGAATAGTGTCATGTGTTAAAAAGCCTCAGATTTGTCTTTTTTGCACAGCCCTCATTTCAACTTATTTTGCCCTGAAAATTTACACACGTGTGTGTTAGGCCTTCATATATATGTGTGTTTTTTTTCAGAATTTTTTGAAATGTAGAAAATATGAAATTCAACAAAATTCAAATTTTTCAAAACCGAGCTCCATGGAGCTCGGCCTCCAAAGACAATATCCGCTATACATGACTTAAGTTTGTAATATTAAAAAGCAATGTGCACTATCTAGGCAATTATTGAAGTGTTGATTAATCTCGCCGCAAAAAGGAGCTCCTCATAAATGGTGATGTTTCATTTTGGTCCATGAAACACCTACGATTGCTGCTGCGTACAGATTCAGGTTGCACGTTAGCACGTGCATGCACCGATGCCTCTAATCTAATCCTCCATGTCCATGGCACCACTAGCACGCCAACAGACGGCGGTTGGTGTACATAAATACATAATGATGGCCTAATTGCTTCTCCTACGGACAAACTATAGTAGTGACAAGTAAATTAACAACCCCCGATCATCAATCAACAATGATAATGATGCACCCATCATCATCACATGCTAAAGTCCGACGAGACGTGCATCGTGTAGTACGTGTAAGTACATGCACAACTTGCGAGCTGCTCTTTTGTTTGAAGCCGAAAAGCAATTAGGTCATGCTAATTAATCCGGCAGTACCACTAGCTTTTTGTTCGAATCCCCCGTTGACATGATTGAACTCTGATGACAGTGTCTCTTCTTCCTGGTGGCCAGAGACGTTCAAACTTGTCTGGGTGATCTGACAAAAAGAAAAGGTGAAAGCGAAGCGAAGCGAGCAGCTTCTGCTGGGCGCAATCATCGTGCCCGCTTCCTCCCTTCTTTTTTCCCTTGTGCAGAATCCATGGGAATCGGCTCGCTTTTCGTTTCGCGCCGTCTGAATTCCAAAGATGAACCACACACACGGTTCATGCATGCTGCCTTTGGTTCGTTTTGTTGATGTGGATGTGTCTACTGGTTGTGAACGTTGTCAGTGGTACTTGGGCACAGGAGAGTTTTCCCGACTTGTTCGCCATGGCCCATGGCCAAGGCAGCGCTTTTGGTGGCTTTTGACTTTGTAAAAAGACATGTTAGGGCAGCAGTAGTTGGGCATGTAAAGCGTATCATTTCCACATGGTTAACCGAGTAAACTAATGCTGCTTCGTTTGAACAAGAATATTTATGTTAGTGTGATCGAATCACAATCACCCAAGTGCAGATCGATCTTGGCATCGTCCGGTGCCTGCTTTCCAAGCGATGCGATGCAACTACCGTGCCAACCCGGAAGAAGAAGAAGAATCCTTCCCTTTCTCAAGCAACGGAATTGATTTGACCTTATCAAAATCCCAACGGCAATAATATCGTAACTAGTATTTTGGAAGGAAACACAGACGAGATCGAAGCACGGACGAAGATTCAACCGGCGGCTAGGCTAGGTTTTTCCACCGCGAGGCCGAGGCCGCCGTGACTGCGCACAAAAACCCTCTGGTGCTCGTGCCCAATCGCTCGCCGCGCGGTGCCCATCTGACCGACACCACACAGGGCGCGGCGGACGCGGCAAGCCCAGCGCGCCTCGCCACGCCACGCCCCGCCCATCACCCCGCCGCTCCGCACATGCAGCTCCCACAAATCCAGCACAAGCTCCACGAATCCACGCCCCCCCTACCCCCCTACCGACTCGTTCCCGCTGCGCCGTCGTAGCGGTAGCGCCAACTCCCCAGACCCGAGCCCCCGCCCCCCTCTCGCCTCCTACAGGCTGCAGCACGCACGCTTCCCCAGGCCAAGCGCAAAGCAGCCACCTTCCCTTCCACTCCGCGCCTCCGTTACCCAGATCCAACTAAGTAGCAGCAGAGCAGCAGCACAGCTCCGTCCAAGAAGACCACCCGACCCGCACCAGAAGAGAAAGAGAGAGCGCGGCGCCATGCCGCCCCGGCTGCTCACCCTGGCGGCGCTGTTGCTACTGAGCGCCACGCTGGGCGCGCCGGAGCCGGACGCGGACAGGGCGGCGCTGCTGGACTTCCTCGCGGGGGTGGGCGTCGGCCGCGGCGGCCGCATCAACTGGGCGGCCACCCGCCCCGTCTGCGCCAACTGGACGGGCGTCACCTGCAGCGCCGACGGCGCCCGCGTCGTCGAGCTGCGCCTGCCGGGGCTCGCCCTCTCGGGCCCCGTGCCGCGCCGCACGCTCGCCCGCCTCACCGCGCTCCGGGTGCTCAGCCTCCGCGCCAACGACCTCTCCGGCGCCTTCCCCGAGGACCTGCTCGCGCTCCCGGGCCTCGCGGGGCTCCACCTCCAGCGCAACGCCTTCTCCGGCGCCCTGCCGCCCGGCCTCGCGGGGCTGAGAAGGCTGCAGGTGCTCGACCTCTCCTTCAACGCCTTCAACGGGACCCTGCCCGGGGCGCTGTCCAACCTCACCCAGCTCGTCGCGCTCAACCTCTCCAACAACTCGCTCTCCGGCCGCGTCCCGGACCTCGGCCTCCCGGCGCTGCAGTTCCTCAACCTCTCCAACAACCACCTCGACGGCCCCGTGCCCAGGTCCCTGCTCAGGTTCTCGGACGCCTCCTTCGCCGGTAACAGCATGACGCGGCCGGCGCCGGTGTCGCCAGCGGTTCCGCCACCGTCACTCGCCCCGCCGGCGGCCGGTGCGCCTGCCAAGAAACGGCGGCGGCTCAGCGAGGCGGTTGTTCTCGCCATTATCGTCGGCGGGTGCGTCATGCTGTTCGCCGTCGTCGCCGTGCTGCTGATAGCCTTCTGCAACAGGCGGGGCGGCGAGGAGGGGAGCCGGGCGGGGTCCGGGAAGGGCGGGAACAAGAAGGGGAGGGAGTCGCCGGAGTCCAAGGCGGTGACCGGCAGGGCCGGGGACGGCAACCGGCTGGTGTTCTTCGAGGGCCCGTCACTGGCGTTTGATCTGGAGGACCTTCTCCACGCCTCCGCCGAGGTTCTTGGGAAGGGAGCGTTCGGCACGGCGTACCGGGCGCTGCTGGAGGACGCAACGACGGTGGTGGTGAAGAGGCTCAAGGAGGTCAGTGCCGGGCGGCGCGAGTTCGAGCAGCAGATGGAGCTCATTGGGCGGATCCGGCACGACAATGTGGCGGAGCTCCGGGCGTACTACTACTCCAAGGACGAGAAGCTGCTCGTGTACGACTACTACAGCAGGGGAAGTGTATCCAACATGCTTCACGGTATGCTTCTTGCTCCCCCTTCTCCATGTCACTTTCACAGTTTCTTCAGTACGAGTGTTGCTAATGAATTTGCAGTTTGTAGTTGTATGATAAATGCCATTGTTTGTTAGAACTATATATAGTAACGGTGATGATAATGAGAGTGGTCCGTCCTCGTTGGGGGCATCCGATAAAATGGGAATGGTACCGAGAAGATTGCCATTGTCCCCTGGGCAAGATAGCGAGAGTTATATAGAAACGCTAACAGATGTACTGCAGGTCCTTGTTCTTGCTGTTGCCAATGGTTACTGTCATATGTTATGGTTCTGCCCTATTTTTTATTTAAGTTTCACCTGAGCAGGACTTTTGTGGAAACAACTCATGTTTGCTCCTACTCAGTTTAGACTGTATTTCTCAGTTATTCCTTTTAGATTAAAATTCTCATATTCTTAGATCTAGCTGCTTGGTGTTCTTGAAGTGTCCATATCATGCATAGCTGCATGGACTTTTAATATTTGCACGTGTATTCAAACCATGAGCAACCAGTTTAATTCTACTCCCTCCGTTCCCAAATACTTGTCTTTCTAGGCATTTCAAATGGACTCAACATACGGATGTATGTAGACATATTTTAAAGTATAGATTCACTCATTTTACGCCGTATGTAGTCACTTGTTGAAATCTCTAGAAAGACAAGTATTTAGGAACGGAGGGAGTAGTTCACATGGCATGTTTGGTGTATGCTGGAGTAGTCATGTCAAGGCCAATATAGTAGCACTAGGATCTGTTTCGTTACGCCCAGTCATGCATGGTAATCACGGCATCTTGTCGTTAAAAGCATTTCATCACCGTCACCATAGTCTTGAAATAAAAATTTCACATGTTTGCACTTCCTCAGTTTTGACTGTATTGCTCCAAATACATCTGTTGTCTTGCTTGAATACTTAGGACTGGTTTCCTTCTCTAAAAGGTTGACCTTATTATACTCAAGATTAGCATATTTAATTTGCTTATAGTCCTCAATCTTGCATTATTACTTTTAGATTAAAATTATTTTCTTCCTCTATCTAGCCGCTTGGTATTCTTGAAGTGTCCATATCATGCTTATCTGCATTGGACTCGTAATATTTTCATGTGTATTCAAACCGTGAGCAACCAGTTTAATTCTAGTTCACATGGCATGTTTGGTGTATGGGCAATATAGTAGCAATATGATCTCTTCCCTTACGACCAATCATGTAGTGTAATCACATCACTTGTTGTTGAAGCACTTCTACCATTACCGGAGTCCTGGAATACAAATTTGACATTTTGAGTGATGCATACTTTACATGTTAGCAGTGGCACGCTGAGAATATTTGCAAGAAATGAAACTAAAGATGGGGTCATGCACAAGAAAACTGTAAATGGTGGAAATGTTTTGGAAGATTAATGCAACAAATAGTGTTGGAGCTTTGTCACTAGCTGGAAAGTTAATCTTGTCTTGTTCATTGGTGAAACATCTGAAATTGCTAGCGGTGGTGTTCACTGTCATAACCCATCCCCCATTTCCCTATCAGAATCGGGACCAGAGGAGGACCACTCTTAGATGCATCAGTATCGTGATGGAGAACAAATTAATACTAGACGTCGGCCACAAGCATTAATTCTCGTGTGAGCTCGTGGCAGTAGTAATTCCGACAATTTGACATGAGATGACTTTACAATATCAGCCATTTGCATTTTATTGATATCCAAACTTGAATATGACATACATCTCATAATTCTGCCAATTGTTTTCTCTTTGCAGGGAAGCGGGGTCTGGACAGAACACCATTGGATTGGGAGACTAGAGTAAGGATAGCCCTGGGCGCAGCAAGAGGGATCGCCCACATCCACACTGAGAACAATGGGAAATTTGTTCATGGCAACATCAAGGCGTCAAATGTGTTCCTCAACAGCCAGCAATATGGCTGCATCTCTGACCTTGGCTTGGCGCCATTGATGAACCCGATAACCGCAAGGTCCCGTTCTCTGGGATACTGTGCACCTGAGATCACCGACACAAGGAAATCAACGCAGTGCTCTGATGTCTACAGCTTCGGTGTCTTCGTACTCGAGCTCCTCACTGGCAAGTCACCTGTTCAGATAACCGGCGGCGGCAACGAGGTCGTCCACCTTGTCAGGTGGGTGCAGTCCGTTGTCCGGGAGGAGTGGACTGCCGAGGTGTTTGACGGCGAGCTGATGAGGTACCCTAACATCGAGGAGGAGATGGTGGAGATGCTACAGATCGCCATGGCATGCGTCTCAAGGAACCCAGAGCGGCGGCCGAAGATGCTGGACATGGTGAAGATGATCGAAGAGGTCGGCAGGAACGACAGTGGGACGCGGGCTTCGACGGAGGCCTCGACGCCGGTGGGGGAAGCTCGGAACAAGGCTGAAAGCTCATCTGCAGCCCCCTGATGGAGTTCTCCGAAGTATCATTTTTTCGTCTTTGCAAGGGTAGGAGCACGGGTAGTTATGTGTTTCGACGGCGCTGCATGATTCTTTTGTCTTATGATGATTTACATGTTACGAAATTGTAACACCTTGCCATGTGGAACTACGGAAATTGTTTGCTTATTATGCAGCACCTGCTCACTGCTTTTCTGCAAGCAATTGAACCAATGTCTGATCACACTTTGGTGGAAGCTACTCCTTATCTGAGCAATAGAACAGTGACTGCAAAATAATTGTTCTACTAGTGGCTCTTGAGACTTGAATGCGCTGATGGCACATCAACTCGCCGACAAGGAAAAACTCAG